GTCATGAGCCAAACAAGTTTCCCAAACTTCGACCATTTTCGGCTTGTTTGCAAAATGATACTGCCAACACGTTGTTGAACATCAACCATGTAGGTAAGTCAACAGTAGAATGCTGAAGTCCCAAAAGAATAGCTTCTACCATGGCCAAGATACTAGTGGAGGGTCTCTTGTCTCTGGAAACACTCTAGCAAGGAACGCCACAGTGATGTTGAATGGAATCCTCTGGGATCCGCGGATTTTCAAAGAGAACAAGAGGAGAATTTACAGCTTCGTAGTCAAAAGTTCTTATATATGGATTTGAAGTTTGGCAGCTGAAGGAACGGACACAGGGGATGCTAAGGAGATGGATTTCTAGAGGAGGTCTGCAGGGACTTCTAGGAGAGATCGGGTCCGCAATGAAAGAGCGCGTCAGTTTATGGGAGTCGAAAATGACATCGTATTCGACGTCATGACCAGGCAGCTTGGCTGGTATGGTTCTTGTCAATGGAATGACGGACGAAAGGCTGCTGAAGAGGATGCTTGATTGGGTTCCTCTTAGGAGGAGACGAAGGGGACGCCTAGTGAAAGTGTGGCACCAAGGGGTTTTAGAAGAAATGAGGGTGCGCCAACTCACTGAACGGTTTTGGGAGGATAGGGGACTTTGGCGGCTTGGTGTCGCAGAGCGCTAGAGAGCGCTATAAAAGCGGCTGTATATATTTTAAGGTTAATTCCACACTATCAGCCCCAGAATGCTCGGTTTGAACAATCGGAACTTTTCCCGGTGGCGTGAGAAATAGGAATGGGCGCAGTTCTCGAAGGGCCGGGCTAGGTCTGGCCCCCAAGAACTTGAATTATTATCACCTCAGAGACAAGGCACCTCCCACTGGCCTATTGACGATAGGAGGAAACTCTTACCATCCCATAAAAGAAAAAGCCACACCAATATTTCATTATTTCAATGTATTGGGGTTAGTCTTTTATGTTTTCTCTTGTTCTGCTGATTTTGCGTTCTCTAACAGTTTGGGGTTTCCTATTTGGTTTGACCAAACATTTGTGTTGAGTTTTCTGTCTGTGTGGGAAGATCCAGACCCCGTGGGAAAGTGGGGTCCAGGCCACCTACTGACTGGCATAATGTCGACACGAGATAAAACAGAAAAACAGACGGGAAAGATAGGGAGAGAAAGTTAATTGTAATTTATTTATTAAAAGAATATGTATTTATGTCTCAAATGGGAGTACTTCTTTTCCCATTGCCCAGTGAATTACGGAGAAATTATTAGCAGCCGCTAAAAGCCGGCGACACCTGTTTGTCTTAGTTTTTATGGTCTCCTGCTCTTGCATAACGACGATGAACATTACACGAGTAAGTTATACGGTTGAAAAACCTGTATTTGTTAACATCAGGGGTGGCCTGGCCCACCAGAAAACTGTAAATGTCCCTGGGGGCCCGCGATCTAATGCGCCCCTTCAGGACTTTATCTCATAAACCGACGATGAAGTTAACAAATCGTCACCTTCCAGTTATAGTATAAAAAGCGCCGTGCGACGTTTTAAAATTTCCGCCGCCATTTCATTTTTTCACAGAGAAATTGTTCAATGATGTTGTCCGCCAATTTCACTGAATTTTCTTTATGCTGCCGATAAAATTTAGACCAAAATCGATACCTAAATGTCAGAGATGTCAACCCCCAGAGGCTGGAAGACAAAACTCCCTCTGGTTAAATGCTAGGCCACAAAATTGACTATATGTCCTGAAAAAAGTGTTCTGGTGAGATATCGACCCCAAAGTATCCTGACGGTCCCTCCAATGGGCTAGAGAAGGGGCCCAAAACTTATTAATTTCACAAATCTATGACTCGTCCTTATCCCATCAGCGATTGCCCCCCCCCCCCCCCCGGGGGAGGGGTGGGGGTGGGCTCGGGACCGACAGATGCAGATGCTAAGGGTAGATGACCCTTAAAAACTTTTTCCTGACGATTTACGTCAATACAATAACCTAGAATTTTACGGAGGGAGACTCCATCCCCCAAGTTCAAGTGAGAGGCTTGAAAGACAAGGCGCATAAGTGCTGCTTTTATTATTTCCTTCCCGTTTTTATCTACAGTGCTTTTAGTGAGGTCCAGTCGTTTTCATGTATCTCACCTGTTGAAATACAAGCATAACGAGCTATGACATGCAGCTGAGGCGGCTGGGCTTTAATCTCTAGTCTCGGATTTCTGAAACTGCACTTGTGCGCCTTGTCTTCCAAGCTCCTCAAGTGAGGTTTTCCTTATAAGTAAGCCCTTATTGATATATTTGATACACTCCTGACGGTCCTGCCTCTTATTACAGGTCTTCTTGACACTAATATTTCTACTGTTTACTTTTAAATAGAAGCCATGGAAATAAAGTCTATGGGAAGTATTAAGTTTGATGATTGTCGTTTACACGCGCCGTTGTGATGAAACTGATTTATTGATCCATTTTCGTGGGTTTTTTCGAATAGACTTCAAAAACGGGGGCCAAATAAGAAGACTGTTCAATCAGGTAAGGAGCTTTACTTTCCTCCTCAAGGGTTTGATTGACTTTTAAGAGATATTTATGGTTCTGAACACGAAGTCATTAGAATAGAATGCAGCGTTTACTTTCTTACTGCTTCGTTAAAGTCTCTCGGCGCAACCTCTGCAAATCTGTGTCTGACTTCGAAAAATACGTATGCCATTTGAAAGATTTCATAATCTATGATTATGTTCTATTCTGAAAGGAAATTAACCAAAATATTTACTTGAAATTTTCTATGAATACAATAACAATGAGCGAGTAAAATTCACGGAAAGTGCCAAGGAAAACTGTTGGTTAGTTTCCTCATGAAAAAAGAAAACATGAGAGGAGATTTGAAAAGTCGCAATCAGAGATACACATTTTTCGAACTTAGTCTTTTACATTCGTTTGGGCAATCTTTTACCTTACAAGTTGATACATCATCTTAAGCGTGAAATTCAGACAAAGTGTCCACTTTAACTCAGTACTATTAGGTAATTAGTAATTACTCGCAAATAATATTCCGCTCATAGCTCACTTGATATACGTGAAAATTATGGAGATTAAAACCTACATTATATGACCTTGGGGGAGCAAAAAGAAAGAGAGTACGAGTATTTGCTAATTTGTCCTATTATTTAAGTGATCATGGTCTTTATTTACAAATTAATACCATATTGCGTCACTTCAACTTCATTAAGCTCTCTCAGGCTTGAATCCTTTAATTCTACGAGGGTGGCGAGGCGTGAATGATCGATTATCGATATTTCTCCATATGAGGCTGTGGTAAAGAATCGATTACTAGGTGTTCGTTGCGAATACCTTTCCATAGGTTTAACTGGTAGATCAATCGAAACAGAGCAAATCACGCCAAGCCAATTCAAACATCTCAGACCTAATGATTAAGTATCACGTCTAAGTGATATAAAGACACTCAAGAATGGTATGGAGTGTTTGAATCGAAGTTTTTGACCGGCAAAAACCATATTGTTTTGATTTTGCATGAAAAGTTTAGGAAAGTATTTACTATGAGTTTACTTATAAGTTTTGTACCTAAAAAGTATTAGTTCATCCTGAAACTGTACCTCTCTCTGCTCATGTGAATAAACCAAATTCCGAAATCAAGAAATATTCGAATAAAAATATTTCGTATTTCATAATTTAATCCTTTGTATTCATCAAACTACCTCCTTCGCTGGATTGGGGGGATTAAATGGATTCTTACGACCCCTTCTTCTTCCAAATCTAAACGCTAATACCATTGCGTCATTTGATAATACGGCCCAGTGCCACTTCCTCCAAGTCGCTTCTTCATGAATCAAAACTGAAACTCTGCAGTTATGTTGTTTCACTCTCGTTCATAATACCCACTGGTAACTTCCACTGAAAAGAGGAGGTCTTGCAGGTAAGTTTCTATAAGAGGTAGAGTAGACAGCTTTTCTTCTCTTGCACCGAAAAGAGGAGCTAAAGTCGAAATCTTCGTACCTCCGATTGCGACGTTACGAATCTCCACTCTTCTTCTGTTTTTTCATAGAAAATTAATCATTCGTATTCCTTGAAATTTTCGACGAATTCCATTCGTTCCAAAACATTCACAGAAAATCTCAAACGGTTTTCTTGGGTAATCTCTTTTTAAAAACATAAAACACGACCAGAGAGTTTGAAACTTCGCAATATGCGTACGCATTTTCTGCCGACGTCATAGAGAAATGTTATTTCTGTGTGTTTTACAAGAGAAGGAGAAGAAAACTCCAAAATCGGAGGACGCCGAGTCGCTCCTCAGAGTGGACCGCGATGCACTTATTGTAGAGTCTCGATATCCGCGGCTGGGTTTTCCGCGAATCGGTTTATCCGCGGTTCATTTGAGCAGCATACCGGCTACAGTTTTACGTCTGAAGCGCATGAGAAAAGTGCTCGAAAAGGAGGCAAATCAATGTCCAAAATCTCTATCAGAAAACCCTTCCACAACTGATGTTTCCATACTGTGTTTGACCGCTTTTCGACGTTTCATATTATCCGGGATTTTCAATAAGCGCGGTACCTTCGGCCCCAACACTGCGGATAATCGAGACACTACCTAAATTACTTTTGAAAAAATTGCAAGGTAAACTTTCAAAGGACTTCAATGTCCAAAATTTCTGTTGGCCCCTCCACAACTAATGTTCCCATACTTTGTTAGGCCGCTTTCCGTAGTTTCAGATTATCCGGGATGTTCGAGAAACGCGGTGTCCCAACACCACGGATAATCAAGGCTCGACCATGATTACTTTAGAAAAAATTTAGAGGTAAACTTCCATAGGGCTTCAATGTCCGAAATCTTTTTCAAAGAGCCCCTCCACAGCTGATGTTTCCATACTTTATTTTACCGCTTTCCGTCGTTTCATATTATCCAGGATTTTCGATAAGCGCGGTATTTTCGGTCCCAACTCGCGGATAATCGAGACCCGACTACAACTACTTTAAAAAAATTTATAGGTAAACTTTTAAAAGGCTAAACAAACCTCAAAAACGCAAGTATCCTTTTTGAAAAAAATTCGGTTATCCAGGGCGAAAAGCGAGCACTTGATAATACACTGAAGGTGAATGGGAAGCACTGATTTCGGCGGCACTGTCACGTGTAAGAGCGAGCACTGGAACTGACACTCGGGGCCCCCCTCGCACTACGCGCACTAAAGCTTCCGCGAGCGACCGCGTCTACTGGGCAACTGACATGGCGGCCCGCAAGTCTGCACTGCGGAAGAAATTGGCCTATTCCCTGTGCGGCCGCCTCTCCGGTCTCCGCTCCCTCTGGCTCGTCTCTCGCGCTGCCGCTGCGGCCGCGGGTGGCTCCAGCGGTGCACCGCACTGCTACTTGCTGCTTTGCTGAAGAAACGAAAGTGATACCTTTTGACATTGTGTAATAAGCCCTCTTTCTCTTTCGATAGCGCGCAACACCGCGCGGTGGGTCGCTACGCACTCCGCTTGGACAGACCGGTCTCCATCGAGAGATTCCGGGGGAACCTTGGGGAGCGGACAGGTTATTGATATTGATAGACAAAGCGATAGACAAAGGAGACATATGGATGGACACATGGAGCGATCCTATTGGTTGGGACGGGTAGTTGTCATAGATCAAGGGGAAAACTGATGGACGAAGTATGGGATCTCTGGAGGGTTGCCGTCAGTTAGAGTCTATTAACTACATCCTATGTTCATTGCAACCACCCGCTTCCACCAATAGAGCTCCTACATATCCTTTTTGTCATCTTTATTTATAGCTTTGTTTACCAATTTCAACAATCAGTGCGATAAACAAAGCGATAGACAACAGTGGCGTGGCGTGCTTTGCGATGTATCGATAGATCTGTCATTCAAACCTCGAGAAAAGGATCAATAAACAGGGTGTCCGCAGCGAACACCTTAATAATCGATTCTTTACCATGGCCTCAAATGGAGAAATATCGAAAATCGATCATTCACGCCACGCCACTGATAGACAAATAGGTTGTCATTTTAGTCAAAACTTTGGGAGGGTAATACAGTTCAACGATCAATGCATTTCTCGGAAAATTAATATAATTGCAATGACAATCAGTGATAGTTTACTACTCATTGCCACAATAAGCAAGTGAGCATTAGAGGTAAGTTAAGATGTGAGAGAAACAAGCGAGCGCCCTCAGTTGGTGCCCTTATGCGACAAATTCTAAGCGCCTTAACGCTAGGATGCAACTATTCGAGCTCCATGGATGTCTGTGTTGCATACGCACGAAAGTGAAGGCGTTTTGAATCTCGCTTCGCCAACAGCGCGGCACGACATCGGCGGACAAAACTACGAGGACGCAAAACGACGTAGCTCCTTCAAATCTTCGTTTATTCTATACAAAAGCATCTTTTAGGCATGAATTTTCAAAACATAATTTACTAAAACGAGTCATATTCCATTTCCTTTGGGCATGAATAGTTATTCTAGGCATGAGTTCTGCGCAGCATATCGCGATATCAATACTGAAGCATAAAAGATACTAACATCCTAAGCTCGTGTGCAACTATTCGTGCCAAAACGGTGATTTTGTAGTATAAATGAAGAATTGAAGGTGCTCTGTCATTTTTAGTCCTCGCAGTACAGCTCGCCGATGGGCTAGAATGAACGGGCTGGAAAAAGCATTGATTAGAACTTCAGCTTGATCGGATACATACAGTTTTAAAGACGTGGTTTAAAATCCGAAGATTTGAGTTTTATCGAGTCATCTATACTTACCTTCAACAATGTTTAAAGAACGGGAATAGTTATTTGCGGGCCTCACATCGTCATCTCCCAGATAAAAGAGCGTGATTATTTAACGCGCAAAATTCTTACTCAAAATTTATAATATTACTCGCTAATCGTTGGGAATTTTACCAGCCTGGTCTCAAACATCGGCAAAATTTTGAACAGAGATCGCTTTGCCATTTCTGTGTGAAAAAAGATTTGTGTGAATAAATGTTGCAACCTTTCTATGGAGTTACGTTTCTTCGTTCAGGAAATGGCGGAACGTTCACCAAGCATTTCTTTTTGACGAGCAAGAGTTTGAAATGTGATCGTATGGCAAGATCCTAAGGTAACCGCCACACCATAATCGTATAACCCAAACTAAATATCCGCGGACGCTGCGGTTGTTGCTGAATGCGCAAGCGATGCCAGAACGCCTTCATTACATTGCATATGCAACAAGGATATCCACCGAGCACTAATAATTGTAGCCAAGCGTTCACGTAGCGTAAGCGTAGGGTATGGAACACCCCCCCCCCCCCCAGCTCATTGGGGAGTCCGGGCGGCCTCCCCTGGAAGATTTTTGAAATTTTAACTCTATTTAAGCGCATCTCGAGGCACTTGTGGCGCTAATCTTCCTTCAATTTCTGCCTAGAAATCACCCAGTTCTATGCATTTTAAGGTTAAAATACTTTGAAATCGTTGCATTCAACAGGTTATTCTATTTATGGGCATCCTCTCACGGGCCACGGCGACAGAGACTTACCGTTGAAGAAGGTGTTTTTGCACCATCCATAATTTCTGTGGGGCCAGATGATACTATTTCCGATTCTGGGGGGGGGCCAGGCCCCCCTAACAGCCCCCCCTCCCTTCCTACGCCTCTGGATTGAATCAAGAGTATTTTTTCTTGTCAATGTTTTCAAGAGTCTGGACTCTAGATCCAATGTGTTTTATTTCCAGTGTTTTTGCACGTTTTTTTCAAAAAATATTTTCCCTGCCTCGGATTTGTCACGGAACCATGCTCGACTCTTCTAGACTGATCAAGAAAGCTTACTGAAAGCTCACTGAACCTTCGTCTTCAGCGAGATGTTTTTATTTCTTCTTTTACTTTTTTATTTAAGTTGGTGCCTCAAGCCGCCCGACTAGGATGTGAATAAATTTTGAGATTCGGATCGGAGGTGGCGCGCGAGCGGGGGGCCCGGGGGGGGGGGGGAGCGGGGCTCAAGGCCGAATCGTGTGGCGCGGGCCGGGCGACGACAACAAAGGCGACGTCATCGCTATCGCTATCAGCAAAGGGTGAAGGTCTGGGGCCGCGGCGAGCCCCAGCCTTTCTATTTTGGCATTTTTCAGGTATCTGGGTCACCGCTTCTCGCATCCTGTCCGCTGACCAGTCGCCGCCGCCGCCGCCGCCCGCACGGACCGATACACACTCCGCGGTCCACGTCGACGACGTAGACGTAATGGCGGGAGCCCGCGCACACCCTCTTTGACTCGGCCCCGGCCCCCGGCTCCGGGGCCCGGCCCAGCCCTTCATCGCTGACGAATCGCCCTGATCACATCCAGAACAGCTGATTCCGGGCGTGCTTGGAATTTTTTCGCTCGCCGCCGCCTCACGCGTCCTCTCACGCCTCCGTGTACTATTGGCTGCATGCTGATTGTCGTGACGTCACAATGGATCGTATTCAATACATCAAGCAGCCATAGAGTACATAGAGTCGTAATGTGTGTGGGAGAGCTGGCGCCATGTTCTGCTCGACGAGTTCCGAGCCCGGTGTGCGGGGTCACTTTTTCGATACATATTCGATCCTAAATGGCGGTGTGGAATATGGCCGGGTCTCCCTGTATCGCAAACAATCGATTATGTATCGAAAAAGGGACCCGGCGCCGCACAGGAATCTCGGAATCCGGGACCTGGAAAATGCTTAAAAGTGGCGCCAGCTCTCCCACTTGCATTACGACTCTATGTGCTATATGCAAACAGCGGGCCCTACAGTTAGTCCATCATTTACCCCCCTTTGTCTATGAATACCACCCATTTCAACCAAGAGGATCGCTTCATACTCCCTATGTCTTCTTTGTCTATCAATGTCAACAATCAGCCCGCAGAGGAGATGGTGGCGGCTCCAGCATCCTGATTATTGAAATTGATAGACAAAGCTAAAGACAAAGATGACAAGAGGGATATGGACTATGGAGGGAACCTGTTGGTGGAAGCTGGTGGTTGCAATGGACAAATGCAATAGGTAATAGACTAACTAACGGCAGCACGAGAAACCCCTCAGTTGGTCCATCATTTTCTCCCTTAGTTTATAAGAACCACACATTTCAACCAATAGGATCGCTCCGTACCCCCTATGTCTTCTTTGTCTATAGCTTTGTCTGGCAATTTCAATAATCAGCCCGCAGGTGAGGTTGTATCGATTTCGATTGGTTCAACATTTCATGTCGTCACCTTCCGACCAAAGTATATCACAAGTGCCATGCGACGTTTCAAACTATTCGCTGCCATTTTAATTTTTTATACAGAGAAATTGTTCAAAGAAGCTGTCCGAAAATTTCACTGAATTTTCTACGTGCTGCTAAAAAAATTCAGTGAAATTTTCAAACAGATTCAACCAAAAATTTCACTGTAAAAAAATAGAATGGCCGCGAAAATTTTGAAACTTGTGATAGAGTTATGAAAGAGATGAAAAAGAGTTAAAATGTTCGTTTAAAAGTTGCGGGTTTATGTATCTCCTATCGGCCAGACAGTTTTCTACGCTGGAACAGACACGTCAAGATTTTACGTTGTGTTGAAAGTAGAGACAAGTTTAGCAGGAGCTAATCCATTCTTATTACTTTATTTCAGATACGACACAACCTGAATGATTGGCCTCTAAAACGCACGTGCTTTAATTATAAATCACTCTTTAAGGTGCAGTGATGATAGAAAGTCACGGAGACTTAAACGCAAGGTTATGAAAAAAGGATTACCCATCCGAGTGCTCTGGCACTCTTGTTACAAAGCGCATCATCACTCTAGTCATCTAAGGCAACGAGGCATCTAAGGTTTTGGAACTACATTCTGAGGAAATAGAGTTTGCTGGTACAAGGAACCTCCTTGGAATAATGGCCAAAATGTTGTTGTATTCGGGAAAATACCTTTTTTTCTTGACAGAGCGAAATCATTCATGAAAACTTTTTTTCTCGGGCTGTGTCAAAGACTAACTACATTCCCTTTAGCTCATCGAATTAGACGTCTTGACCTCTGGAATCGACATTTCTATTCCGTAGCCTCAAGGGAATAAACAAACATTTTTCAATTTATCATGGTATTCCACAACGACTATTTTAAACAAATGTTTTTTAAAAAGCATGCTATGGTTTGAATTACTGAATTAAAATTTCTTATGATTATGTAATCGAATTTATGTATATCGAATAGAACTATATGTATGGATGAATGCAAACAAAATAAATTATGTAGAATAAAAGAATTTGTGCCTTTTATAGATCTTCATACTGCGATTTATTTGC